CTTTGCATTGGGTTAGAACATGTTCTTTTAGCTCAGAGAAGTTTGTTATTACCCACCTTCTGAAGCCTGTTTCTTTCAATTCAACAGACTCATTCTCCATCTATAGCCTCTGCTATAGGACTACTGGAGGTTCACTCCAGACCCCACTTTCCTGGGGATCACCAGTTTCTGCCAGTTTTCTGCCAGTTTCTTCTGTTTTCTTTGTCCCAGAAGGATACCCGCCAGATGTCAGTCTGAGCTCTCCTTCATGAGGTGTCTCTTTGGATATACAGGGGTCAGGGAGCTGCTTGAGGAGACAGTCTGTCCCTTATAGTAGCTCAAGGGCTGAGCTGTGAGCTCCACTGTTCAGTTCAGAGCTACTGGGCAGGTACGTTTAACTCTGCTGCAGCAGAACTCATAACTGCCTTTTTTTCCCAGGTGCTCTGTCCTGGGAAGATGGGGCTTTATTTATAAGTTCCTGATATGCTGCTGCCTTTTTTCAGAGATGCCCTGCCCAGCAAGGAGGTAGCTTAGTCACAGTCTGCCAGCAGTGGCATTGCTGAGCTGCTGTGGGCTCTGCCCAGCTGCTGTGTGAACTTCCTTGTGGTTTTGTTTATAGAGGTACAGTTAGAACTGCCTCGGTAATGAAGGTCTACCTCAGTAATGGCGGAATGTCTCTGTAATGGCAGACTGCCTCAGTAATGGCAGATTGCCTTGGTAATGGTGGACTGCCTCGGAAATGGTGGACTGTCTCGGAAATTGCAGACACCATTCCCCCCACAGAACTGGACCATCTTGGGTCCAGCTGAGCTTGCTGCAAAACTCTCAATCCAGAGCATTTCAGATTGCTGGTCTTTGTGGGGGTGGGAACCACAGAGCCAGATCACCTGGCTCCCTGTTTCAGCTCCCTTTTTTTCAGTTGAATGGGCGGCTCTGTCTCCCATGTGTTCCAGGCGCCAGCTGAAACGGCAGCCCGGATTTGTGTGAGTTTTTGTGTGGAGACCTGCTGTGCCGTGCTGGAAACTCATGGTGCTTTCAGCCCAGGAATCTCCTGGTCTGTGGGCAGTAATAACTCATTTGGAAATGTAGTGATCACTCACCCTCTGCGTTGTTCTCACTGGCGACTGCACTCCAAAGCTGGCCCTATTTGGCCATCTTTTTCTTTTTTCTTTTTTTTTTTTAAGAGAGATAAGGTCTCACTACTTTGCCCAGGCTGGTCTCAAACTCCTAGGCTCAAGCAATTCTCCCACATCAGTTTCCCAGAGGATGGGACTACAGGTCCACGCCACCACCCCTGGCTTAACCTTTGCCTTTATATTAATATTTACATTACTTTTGCCTAACACTGCATTTCCTCCCTTTGCTAGCTTTCTTTAATTATAATTTGTCAATTTCATATTTCTATTGCCTCTAAAGTCATGTTTTTTCCTGTGTCCAGGCTAAAAATTTAACCTTCTCTTTGTCTTAAAACTCCTATGTCTCCCCCAGATCCGCATCTTCCAGAGCTCTTATTGTGTTTGACTCTCAGGATTTTAAGTGTTCCTATCACTTCTTGATTATATTCAATGTGTCTACTTCCTCAGTGGATTGTGAACTCTTCAAGGGCAGAGAATAGGTCTGTCTGCCTTGTCTGCTGTACCTCCATGTAAATAACTAGTGCCTAGAATAGAAGGGTTGGGCATTTAAACACTTTTTGAATGATTGAATTGACAAATAATGAATGTGGTCATGGTATACTTCTTTAGCTTTAACAGATTCATTACATTGTTTTGATCACTTCATATCAAATTTCCCTACCACTTGTATCAAGTTGTTAACTGCTCTGGAGTCCTATTATTCATCATCCTCATATGACTAGCAAACGCAGAGCTACTGAGAATTTGGCTTCAGTGCATACAGATATTTTACCATTTGATAACTGAGTTGCTAACTAAATCTTCATGAAACAAAACGTCCAAATATTCATTCTTTACCAGATTTAAAAGGGAATAAAGTAAATATCTAATGAATAATAACTTCTGCAGGGTCTCAGGCAAGGGTAAAAACTACTATTTCCCTCTCCCCTCTCTGTTCTAAGATTTTTAATAAGGCCACTTGTCTTGCTACATGGGGAGAGTGTGCAGCTGATTAGAGGCCCTGAATGTTGCCTAGTCAAGTGCCTTCACTTCATTCTGTATAAGGCAAATTAAATATTGACAGACATAATCATCTATCTTTAACTTTGCATTCTGTGTCTCTGCCTTGCTTCTAGCAAGAGGAAGTCTTTCAAACCTGAGATCTATTTTATGCTGCTCCTTAACCTCTGCACCAGTTCCTAAGAATGCAAACAAAATGCCTCTTTCCTCCAAACCTCATCTGTTCTTTCCTGCTTCTCACTGTCCTCCCTACCTTTCCTTTAATTTCTTCAGCCCCACTCCCTTCCAAACAATGTCTATCCCTCATTACGTTTTCTTTGGTTTCCCTGAAAGCCCTTATTTACTTAATGATAACTTCACCTGAAATTCCCCCTACTTGATCATGGTACATTCTAGTAGTGTACTATTTTTGTATTTTAAGCACTTCTTTTGCATTACAAAAAACATACCTATATTATTTCTAACTTTTATGGATTCACTTAACAACACTGACTACTTACCATGTTCACAGCACATATTATTGGTCTTTTTTTTTTTTTTTTGCAGATGTAGAACTATTCTGCAAATTAAAATCAGCCTAAAGATCAGGGACCACATAGAAGATGGATTGTGACATGCTCATACATAGCACCATACAATAATAGAAATTATGTTAGCTTATTCACTAACAAGATAAGAGGCAACAGACAGTACATTTTAGAACTTTGCTCATATTTTGATGAAATAACAAATATTATGGATTTTTTCCTATCCAACATGTGAACTACTTTCTATACAAGTCTTAGTGGGAGACACTTTAGAAACTGAAAATACCAGATACTCACTTTCCCAGCTTCCTCTACAGCTAGGATAGAGTACATGACTTGGGTTTGGCCAATCGGACACTCTTACCTTGGCCTTTGACAATGAAACTGTGACAGTAAAGAAGCAGGAACCATGTAGAATACATTCTGGTAGTCAGCAGAAGTAGCTAAGACAGTTGTACCACCAGTACAAAGCATACAGGTGTAGATGTGGTAGTGCTGTGGCATTGGTGCCTAGTGTTTCGTGTCTAAGATGACAACAGGGCAAGCTGGAGCATCCAGAGAGATGTTTGGAGGTGGAAGCAGCAGTATCCTCTCAGACTGCCTCTGTAGTAGTATTCTGGGTCCTGGGTGCTCCCTAGCCTCCCTTGTTGTTGTCCATTTTCTAAGCCCGTTTGTTGTCCATTTTCTAAGACCGCTTCTGCCTGCACCATTTCTATAAAATATCTGAGCTACTCAATGTCCTTTCAATAAAGTTCCCCTATGTTAAAATCAATCAAAGTCAGCCAGGCACAGTGGCTCACACCTGTAATTCCAAAACTTTGGGAGGCCGAGGCGGATGTATCAGTTGAGGTCAGGAGTTCAAGACCAGCCTAGCCAATATGGCAAAATCCCACCTCTACTAAATATACAAAAATTAGCTGAGTGTGGTGGTGGTGCACACCTGTAATCCCAGCTGCTTGGGAGTTTGAGGCAGAAGGACTGCTTGAACCTGGAAGGTGGAGGTTACAGTGAGCCAAGATCATGCCACTGCACTCCAGCTTGGGCAACAGATTGAGATTGCAAATAAATAAATAAATACATATATACATAATACATATATACATACATACAGCCAAAGTTGTATTTGCTATTGCTTGCAACTAAGCACTCAGTCCCAGCACTTTGGGAGGCCATGGTGGGTGGATCTTTTCAGCTCATGAGTTTGAAACCCAGCCTGGGCAACACGGTGAAACCCAATCTGTACAAAAAATACAAAAATTAGCCAAGTGTGGTGGCATGTACCTGAAGTCCCAGGACTTGGGAGGGTGAAGTGAAAAGACTGCTTGAGCTGGGGAGGCTAAGCGTCCACTGAGCCACGATTATGCCACTGTACTCCAGCCTGGGTGACGGAGGGAGACCCTGTCTCAAAAAAATAAAAATACATCTATCGAATTAATATTTCCCATTCAGCCTCTGAGTATTTAAAGAGGTATCATTAACATACATGTTTCAATATGTAGAATAAATTTTTTCACTATTATAATATTCTAATGAACATCTTGATATAAAAATTATTTTCTTGTATTTTAAACCATTTCCTGAGGGGAGATTCCTAGGAGTTAACCTGTCAATCTTTCATAAAAACTGTACTAACTTAAACTTATACTCATTATATTCTTATTTCGTAGTTCCTGCTAATTTACATAATAAATTTGGAACTTCTTTGTTTTAACTTACAGTTTTTGCTTACTAGTGAGGTTGAAATAAATATTTTTCTTTTTTTTTTTGAAATAAACATTTTTCACATGCTTATTAGCTAACTGTAATTTTAGTAGAGACATGGTTTTACCATGTTGGCCATGCTGGTCTCAAACTCCTGACCTCAAGTGATCCACCTGGCCTCTCAAAGTGCTGGGTTTACAGGCGTGAGCCACCATACCCAGCCTCTGCTGGTTTTTAACACAGTATCACTACACATTGTTTTTTGAGGCAAGGTCCTGCTCTGTTGCCCAGATTGGAGTGCAGTGGCATGATCACAGGTCACTGCAGCCCTGACTTCCCTGGGCTCAAGCAATGTTTCCACTTCAGCCTCCTAAGTACCTGGGACCAAAGGTGTGTGCCATCATATTTGGCTTTTTTGTTTGTTTTGTTTAAATTTTTGTAGGGAAAGGGTCTTGCCATGTTGCCCAGGCTGGTCTCAAACTTCTGGGCTCAAGCCACCTTCCAGCTCAGACGCCCAAGGTGCTGGGGTTTCAGGTGTGAGCCACCATGCCCAGCCCATTTTTATTTCAGAAAACAAACATTAAGAGTGTGGTTTCTCAGCTGACATCACACCATTCCACTCCAGCCTGGGCGACTGAGCAAGACTTCATTTCAAAAAAAAAAAAAGAGTGTGGTTTCTGAAATACAAAATATAAATAACCCAGAGGCAATTCTAGACAAATTATAAAGACATCAATCAATATTTCTATTTTCTTTGTTTTAATTTAGAATTCAGTAATTTTTTGAAAACTAGCCTCTAGTTTCAAAAATGGGACATGCTATTGTTTTTTAAATATTACTCCAAATGATGAAAGTAGATCTAGCAAGCATATGAACCGAAAAATGAAACAGTACTTGATGGTAGATAAATATGTTTTCAAAAATACTCATTAATCTCAGAACTACTTAAAATATATCATTTCATTTTTTAATTAATTTAAATAAAAATAAGTTGATTAGATGGTAATCGCTGAAAATAAAACCCTCAGGAAAAAGTTTTCCCCCTCTTAACCAGGAAGAAAAGGAAGTAACACTGAAAATGACAACCTTACCAGCTTTAGCTATCAAAAGGGGAAAGACACTTCCATTTCACCAACATTGTTTCCAACATTGTCTCCTGTGTCTACAGTTACCGAGGACTGGTAAATAACTTTTAACTCCATCTAAAACAGAGGAGTCAAATCAACAAATGACATCTAGGTCAGGCGAGGTGGCTCACGCCTGTAATCCCAACACTTTGGGAGGCTAAGATAGGCAGATAACAAGGTCAGGAGTTTGAGACCAGCCTGGCCAACATGGTGAAACCCCATCTCTACTAAAAATGCAAAAATTAGCTGTGCATGGTGGCGGGTGTCTGTAATCCCAGATACTGGGGAGGCTGAGGCAAGAGAATTGTTTGAACCCGGAGGGCAGAGAATGGAGTGGGCCGAGATCATGCCATTGCACTCCATCCTGGGCAACAGGGCGAGACTCTGTTTCAAAAACACAAACAAACAGAACAAAAACAAATGAAATATTTTTTTATCATTATTGGAGAAGTTGAAATATATGACCCCACCATTCATATCTACAAAGTATATCATGATAAAGTATAATTAACTCTATTACAGACCAACAAATGGGCTTGACCAAGGTAAAGGCATATTAGGTTTCAAACACATCTAAAGGAAACAGAAATCCCAGAGAAAAGGCAGACAAAAGTACAAGAAACTTAATAACCACAGGTACGGGCAATTCAATGCCAAATAAGAAAACATACATGCAGCTTATAGGTCTGAAACTTTAACCAGGGTTGTTAGGCTAAATATATATAGACAATAAAAACTATTTCCTTTTTTCCATAGGAAAAAACTAATACAGCTATTTCTCCTAATGGATAAAAGTGAGAAAATGGCATCTACATGAAAGAGGAGGAGGGGACTAAGGACAAAGCAGTTTCCAAAAGCTTCAAAAATGAGAGACACAGGACAGAGGCAAAAAGAATCCAAGTAAATTATAGCCAAATATAAGAAACAAAAATCTTTTTTTGGAGGGAGGGCAGGGACAGAGTCTCCCTCTGTCACCCAGGCTGGAGTGCAGTGGCACGATCTCAGCTCACTGCAACCTCTGGGTTCAAGTGATTCTCCCACCTCAGCCTCCTGAGTAGCTGGGACTACAGGCATGTGCCACCATGCCTGGCTAATTTTTTTGTATTTTTAGTAAAGATAGGGTTTCACCATATTGCCCAGGCTGGTCTCAAACTCCTTAGCTCAAGTGATCTGCCCACTTCGGCCTCCCAAAGTGTTGGGATTACAGGCCTGAGCTCACACACCTGGCTGAAAAATTATTTTTTAAAAAATCCTGTATGTTGCCAGTTCAAAGATGATTATTAGTAAGAAAACTATAGCTAAATAACACTAAAGTTTATAAAGTAGTTTCACATACATTTTTGTTTTTTCTCATCCTCACACAACTCTGGGAAATAGGTTGGTCACAGAAGTTAGTTGACTCATTCAAAGTCATATAGGTAGCATGAAGCAGAGCCAAGACTGTCAAGTTTCCTGAGTTAAAATACACTCCTTTCACTATATCATTATTAAATAAAACTAGTCAAATCCACCAAAGGCATTGTAATAAAATTCTGTTCAATATAACCATGCATGGCTCACTCATCAGTCCTAAAGCCAATCTCAGAATTGCCAACACTGTATAGAACTGCTTTCAGACTCTGGTAATTTCTAGAAAAACCTCAATAAAGGAAAGATTTCAGAAGTGAATCTTTCTTATGAAAAAAACTTACTCTAACCATTATGATTGCATCTAATGAATTCGATTTTACTCTTTCAACTTGATGAACCACTGTCAGTGTTCATCAAAACTTATAACAAAATATAATGGGTTTCCCCATGGCAAATCGCTGCTTATTCCCTCACCTATTTCTATAATGTACTGTCATTTATAACCTCTGACAGTTGTGCCACATTTCCCACATTACGTAGAAACAAAGTACAGTAATTTTGGAAGGTTTTGTACTAGAAATTGGACTCCTACAGAAAAGATAACCTTCATTTTTTGGTCAGTACAGCTAACTCAGGAAAGATGACTTTGTTTCCACATACTACTTTTCAATATAAAAGAAAATTTTAAAAATATTTATGACTTAGACAACTCTTGATCAGTAGACTTTTCATCATAATTCTTCCTTGAGCCAACAAACAATAGAATCTGAAAGTTATGACAAGACAGTACACCACAGAATAAAGAACTCTATTGTACGAATCCATTCTGGACTAACTATAGGATCTTGGGTAAGTCAATTTACCTCTCTGGGTCTTAGTTTTGCCCTTTAAAAAAATTCAATTCAAATGAGAACACATAGACACAAGAAGGGGAACATCACACACCAGGGCCTGTCTGGGAGGTTGGGGGAAAGGAGAGGGAGAGCATTAGGACAAATATCAAATGCATGTGGGGCTTAAAACCTAGATGACAGGTTGATAGGTGCAGCAAACCACCATGGCACACGTACACCTATGTAACAAACCTGCACGTTCTGCACGTGTATCCCAGAACTTAAAGTAAAATAAAATTCAAAAAAGAATTCAGTTCAGTAGCTTTCATTTTTTTTTTAACAGAGGCACCTTTTTTCTAATGATTTATCACCTGGAAATTCAATATTTTTAAAACTGATAAAAAGTAGAGTCCTGGGCAGGTTGCTCAGATCCCATCCACTCAGCATTCAGCAAGCTCCTTGGTCCCCAAATCCCGACCTCAGACATCCCGTGAAACATGTCTGAGGAACAGAATATAAAAAGCAGGAATGAACTCTTACATGTCTCTTCCAACTCCAAAAGTCTAGGATTTCATGAATTTTATGTTCCATATCATTAGCCATTAGAGAAATGTAAATTAAAACCTCAATGAAATTTCACTATATACCTATCAAAATAACTTTTTTAAAAAATGCTAATAACACCAAGTACTGGTAAGGACATAAAACAACTAGAATTCTCATATATTGCTGGTGGGAATGCAAAATGATATAGCCACTTTGGAAAACAGTTTGGCAGTTTCTTATAAAGGTAAACAGACACACATAAACAAGTAACTCTACTTCTAGGTACATACCTAAGTAAAACTAAAACCTTTGTTTATATAAAAACCTGTATGTAAATATCTTTTTGGCAGACTTATTCACAACTACCAAAAAATAAAAACTCCAATGTCCATCAATGGATTAATAGATGAACAAATTGTGATACATCCATAAAATACAATAGTACTCAGCAATGAAAATGAAAAAACTGGCAGGGTGTGGTGGCTCATGCCTGTAATCCCAGCACTTTGGGAGGCCGAAGCAGGCAGATCACGAGGTCAGGAGTTCGAGACCAGCCTAACTAACATGGTGAAACCCCATCTCTATTAAAAAAAATACAAAAATTAGCCAAGCATGGTGGCACACATCTGTAATTGCAGCTACTCAGGAGGCTGAGGCAAGAGAAACGCTTGAACCCAGGAGGTGGAGGTTGCAGTGAGGCAAGATCACGCCACTACAATCCAGCCTGGGTGACAGAGTGAGTGAGGCTCTGTCTCAAAAAAACAAACAAAAAACCTGCTAACACATGCACCAACATGAATGAATCTCAAAAGCATTATGCTTACACTGAAAACCACAAAACATGTTTTAAAAATTTAAAGATCTAGCCAGTGTGGGTCACGCCTATAATCCTAACACTTTTGGAGGCCGAGGCAAGCAGATCACAAGGTAAGGAGATCAAGACCATCATAGCCAACATGGGGAAGCTTCATCTCTACTAAAAATACAAAAAAAATTAGCTGGGTGTGGCAGTGCATGCCTGTAGTCCCAGCTACTCGGGAGGCTGAGGAGGAGAATTGCTTCAACTCAGTAGGTAGAGGCTGCAGTGAGCCGAGATCACGCCACTGCATTGAAACCTGGCAACAGGGCAACACTCTGTCCCAAAAAATTAAAATTAAAATTAAAAATTAAAGATCTAAATAAATGGAAATACATCCTACATTCATGAATTAGAAGATGTAACATTGTTAAGATGGCAACACTCCCTGAACTGCTGAATTATCAACAGATTCAGTAAACTTCCTATCAAAATTCCATCTGGAATTTTTACAGGAATTGACAAGCGGATTCTAAAATTCGTACAGAAATGCAATAAACCAGAATAGCCAAAAGAATCTTCAAAAAGAAAAAAGTTGGTGGACTCATACTTCCCAACTTCAAAACTTACTACAAAGCTACTAATCAAGGTACTGTGGTAGTGGAATAAAGGTAAATAGATCAATGGAACACAATTTAGAGTCTAGAAATAAACCCATGTATTTATGATCTATTCATCTTCAACAAAAGGGCTAAGACAATTTAATGAGGAAAAGGATAGCTTTTTCAACTGATTGTGCTGGACAACTGGATATCCACATGTAACAGTAAAACTGTGGACCCCTATCTCACACCATACATAAAAATTAACTCAAAGTGAATCACAGAACTAAACGTATGAGCTAACACACACACACACACACAAACACACACACGCCTCCTAGAAGAAAATACGTATAAATCATTTTGACATCGGGTTAGGCAATGATTTCTTAGATATGCCACCAAAAGCACAAGCAATAAAAAAATAACATTAATAAATTGGACTTCATCAAAATTAAAATCTTTGTGCTTCAAAAGATGCCATCAAGAAAATGAAAAGACAGTGTTACAGCTCTTTTAGAATTTGTCTAGCAGGTGTTCCTGTTTTTGCGGGAAAGCCCCTCTGGGAAAAAAAAAAAAAAAAGAAACATTCAGCTGGGCATGGTGGCGTGTGCCTGTAATCCCAGCTACTCAGGAGGCTGAGACAGGAGAATTGCCTGAACCCAGGAGGCGGAGGTTGCGGTGAGCCGAGATCGCGCCATTGCACTCCAGCCTGGGTAACAAGAGTGAAACTCCGTCTCAAAAAAAAAAAAAAAGAAACAAAAGAAAATGAAAAGACAACTCACAGACTAGGAGAAAATATTTGTAAATCATCTATCTGATAAAGGACTTGTATCCAAAATATATAATGAACTCATATTATAACTCAACAAAAAGACAACCCAATTTTTAAATGGCCAAAGACTTGAATACACATTTCTCCCCAAAAGATATACGAATGGCCAATAAACACACAAAAAGATGCTCAACATATTTAGTCATTAGGTAAATGCAAATCAAAAACACAGTAAGATATTCCTTCACATCCATTACAATGGCTATAATAAAAAAAAAAAAAAAGACAGATGATAGTGAGGATTGGCCAGGAGAAACTAGAGCCCTTGAGTCACTGTGGAAAAGGGTTTGACAGTTCCAAAGGGCTTGAGCACTGTGGAAAAGGGTTTGAAAAAGGGTTTGGCAGTTTGCTGGCTCCTGTGGTAACACAGTTATCACACAACCCAGCAATTCTACTCCCAGGTATCTATCCAAGAGAAATAAAAACATACTTCCACATAAAAACTTGTACACAAATGTTCATAACATATTCAAGAGAAATGAAAACATCCACACAAAAACTTGTGCATAAATGTTCATGGCATTATCCATAATACCAAAAAGCTGAAATGACCCAAAAGTCCATCAACTGATAAATAGAGAAACAAAATGTGGTATATCTATGACCTATACAATGGAAAATTACTTGACAATTAGAAAAATATTCATTCATGTTACCACATGAATGAACCAGAAAAACATTATGCTATGTGAAAGAATTTACAAAAGACCACATACTGTATATCATTATTTAATATATCTAGAAAAGGCAAATCTGGAGAGACAAAAAGTAGGTATATGCCTAGGATGGGGAGTTATGGTGGTGGGGGAGTGGTCAGAATTAGGGAATAACTGCTAATGAGTACAACGTTTCTTTTGGGGTGATAAAAATGTTTTAAAATTAGATTACTTTGATGGTTGCACAACTCTGAAAAGATATTAAGAACCACTGAAATGTACACCTTAAACAGATGAACTTTATGGTATGTAAATCGTATCTCAAAAAAGCATTATGCTAAGTGAAGGAAGCCAGACTTCAAAGATTACATATTGTATGATTCCATTTATAACACTGTGGAAAAGGCAAAACTGTAAGGACAGAAATCAGATTTGTGGCTGCCAGAGATGGAGAAAGAGGAAAAGACTGATCATAAAGGGGCATAAGAGAAATTTACAGGGTGGTGAAAATATTCCATGTAAGGTAGTTACATAACTTGTAAATATTTGTCAAAATTCATAGAACTGTACAGCTAAAAAAGTGAATTTTAATCTGTGTAAACTGTTTCCCAATAAATCTGACTTTTAAAAAGGCAAGTTTGGCCAGGCGTGTTGTCTCATGCCTGTAATCCCAGTACTTTGTGAGGCTGAAACGGGGGATCATGAGGTCAGGAATTCAAGACTGGCCTGGACAACATAGTAAAACCCTGTCTCTACTAAATATACAAAAAAATTAGTCAGGCATGGTGGCAGGCGCCTGTAATCCCAGCTACTTGGGAGGCTGAAGCAAGGAGAATTGCTTGAATCTGGGAGGCAGAGGTTGTAGTGAGCAGAGATCACTCCCCTGCACTCCCGCCCAGGCAACAGAGACTCTGTCTCAAAAACTAAAAATTAAAAATAATAAAAAGGCAAGTTTACATTGGAGAGATACAGAAACCTATTTTTGGAAACTTGAGATCAAAAGAAAAGTGGAAACCTTTGAAATATACCAGAACTCGCCCTTACTGAGTTCTATAACATATAAAGAACATGCCATCAAGATTATGGATATCATCAAGATTATATAATATTGCCTATGACAGAAAGACAATATAGTCAAATATTGTGGACCATGGCAGAATTCTCCTTGGAATTTGGAATCAATGTTAGAAAAACTCCTCCCTCTGGAAGGACAACCAGTGAAAGTCAACATAAAGTTTCCTGGCCAAGTCCTCTAAATTAGAGGGGAAATTACATTCAGAGTTGAGTCTTTTTTTTTTTTTTTAATTTTTTTTTTTTTTTTTTATTTTTTTATTTTTTTTCCATTTATTTATTTTATTGCATTTTAGGTTTTGGGGTACATGTGAAGAACATGCAAGATTGTTGCATAGGTACACACGTGGCAGTGTGATTTGCTGCCTTCCTCCCCATCACCTACATCTGGCATCTCTCCCCTTGCTATCTCTCCCCAACTCCCTACCCCCTACCGTCCCTCCCCTATTTCCCCGCAACTGACCCCAGTGTGTAGTGCTCCCCTCCCTGTGTCCATGTGTTCTCATTGTT